AATCGAACATACAATGAGAGCCACGGATGCCAGAAGAAGTAGAGTTGAATTTGGCGTTTCCTGTGCGACTGTGCCGCTTTTCTAGGATGTTTTTTTTTTCGCATTCTGATGTTACCCCCTTGTCAGGGTATCTCGTTGTATGACAGTTATACACTAAGCAAATCTTTCCTCCCGTTTCCCAAAGCAATGCCCAAACAGAACCGTGTAAAGCAAGAGGTATTTTTTCCACCACTCCGAAAGAAATAAAGCGAATCCCATCGCTGATCTTGTGCCATTAATTACAACCCGACTACAGCGGAAGGCGAGGATCGAGGAAAGAAGTCGTGAACGTAACAAGCGACCCTCCGGTGGTGGCGTGATGCTGGTCGCTACCGAAGGCTTGGTCGCATGGAGAGGCTTGGTGTGCCGAGTGCAAAAGCCGACTCCAGAGAAGAGAAATCCATAAACCGAGATAGGCAGCCCCGTAAACATTCTTGAGGCAGCGCTAGAGAAATGAACAATCGTAAGGTGCGAGATGACACCCAGGTAAAAGCAGGAACGCCGTAACCCACAATTTCGCTGACATGCTCCTATTAGACCATGGACAAACCAAAGTCTAAAACGTAATACCGGTGATACAAGGAAAGAGTGAAGGAAAACGAAGGAAAAAGAACCAGTGAAATCTATCATGCAAGATGATCGCAAGCCTTGTGCGTTTTCGTGAGATCCGGAGGCGCACCAATATGCTTGCAGATAGCAGAAGGAATAAGGCAATGGCACCTTGAGAGTGTCTGATAGTCTAGACTCGAGGGAATCGAAGTAGCCAGATGTGTCCAGTGATCGGAACTGGGTCGGCTTGGTAGGCCATGGTACTTCGCGAAACAGAAAGTAACTTTTTGAACATAGGAAGTGCTGGAATGGGCAGCCGAATATGTATCCGTGAAGGTGTGGCAAGGCGATGTCGCTGTGATATGCGGCCGGTAGGTGGCGGGCAATTAGACGGCAACAGCCTGTGGGCCATAACCAGGAGCCATGTAGTAAGGCGGGTGCCTCTGCACGCAGTAGGCACATCCGCAGCTGAGACCATGCTGGTTCCATGCAGACGGTGTGTACTGAGTGGAGTAGGCGGGTGGGCCATAATTGGACGGCTGCTGAAGCGCTTGCGCAGGGGCGGGCTGAGACAAGGGTGGGAAACCGAACATGGTGCGACGCGAGTATCCCTCAGCTGGAGCCCAAGTACCCGTTGTGCCGTAGTACTCTGGGGTGGTAGGGCCCGTGGTCGGTGCTGACGCAGGAGAGTGCTCGCTAGCGGACCGCCATGGGTCGTACTGCGAGTAGGTCGGAGGGTTGTATGCAGAGTGTGCCGACTTGGGCGCATAGTCGTACGGTGGAGTGTAGGCCTGGTGCATCGGCAGAGGAGGAAGCGGCTTGTTGGGGTTGAGTGAGCGTCGGTGTACCGATGTGTCGATAGGGCTGAGCTTGTTGCTGCGACCAGAGCGGGCAGCAGCACTATTCTGGTAGTCCTTCCAGTGCTCTGACCATGATGTCCAACCATGCTGCTCAGATGGATCGCGATGAAGCTTGAACTTGATTGCTACGAGCCACTCTAGCTCCAGCTCATTCAGCTCATGAACCTGAATACCGCTAACCTCGGACCACGAACGGTTGATGAAGGTGTTGTCGTCCAAGAACTTGCTGCCAAGCACAAGCGCGATGGTGAGGAGACGGAACAGGTGAGTGTCGGTCTTGGGCTCGTGAGCGAGCATAGGCATCCTGCTGGACAGGTAGTACATGCTGAGCAGGATGGTAGCCGAGGGCAGCCGTGTGGCGCAAAGCACCTGGTGTACCCATTTGCGGAACGACGAGGGCATCATGCGGCCGGGCGTGATGAGTCGTAGGGCTGTCTCGCACACGAAGTCGGTCATGACGTCCATGTCATAGTCCAGCTTTGCAGACACGCCGCCGACAGGCTTCTCTTCCTTGGCGGGCTGACTCATTCGCTGGTTGTACTCGTGCACGCGCTGCTGCTGCATAGCCGCCTCTGCCAACGCGTGGCCGGACTGTGCGCGCATGGGTGGCAGGGTGGTTGCGCCCATGGGATCGTAGAAGGAGCTCGCAGGTGGAAGACTGGGAGGCGCACTGCTGAGGTAGGTGCCGGCCTGCGGGTACATGGGTGGCATGGCGATGGCCAGTTGGCCGTAGCGGTCTGCGAAGTCGTAACCATCATCTTGCTGCCGGATCGCGGGGCCAGCGTACGCGGGCTGCTGCGGTGGGTATGACGCGCCACAGGCAGAGTGGTAGCTGGGGACGAACTCCTGGGGAGATAGCCGTGGCATGTTATGCCGGGGGTAGAAGGAGGGCATGATGGTGTGGGACTGCCGCAGAGAGAAGACTGGCGAGGCTCCTGGCGTCGTGTTAGTGAGTGCTGGCGTGACGGGCGTGGCCAGCGGCTTGGGGCTTGTGACGTACAGTCTTCTCGTTCGCGCCGCCTCTAGAGTTGCCTACGGACCCTCTAGAAAGATGTGCTCATTCAAGGAAATGCAACGTCCGGGAGGTGTTTGTGAGTGGTGGAAATGGGTCGCGCTGGTGGTTGCGCGGAGGCGGTGGGTGGCCGGAGAAGTGCCTGGAAGGGAGGCAAAGGGCGCGGCGAGAGGTGAAGGGCAGCTCGAGGGTGATGGAGCGCAGGCAGACCGGGGCTAAGTCAATAGATCCGGCGATGCGAGGTCGTGGTGGGAGATGTCGCGGAGAGTCGAGGTCCCTGGGGATGGGCGGCAAAAGAAAACAGGTTGAAACCAAGGACTATTACACAGTACAAGCCCAAACCAAAGCCGAAGAAAGCACTCGCAGCGTGTGGACAGCGGCGGAGGGGACGAGGCGTTGGGTGTCGGAGCCAGACGGACACGTCTACCCGTGAGTGCAGGTGTGCTCGTTTGCAAGCCCGCGAGACAGAGCAAGCGTCGGGAGGTGCTGGTGAGCGGGCTGGGGATGCCGGACAGCCGAGATTGGGGGCGCACGTCCGTTGGGGCTTGGGGACTGTGTCGCGACGAGCAACGCCTGCGACGACGACAGGACGAGGGAGATGGGGAGACGGGGCACGGGGAGAGTGAGGATGGGGAGGGCAGAGGGCGGTGATGTGGGTGTATTCGACACACACCGTTAGCGAAGGCCTAGCAGCAGCAGCAGCGAAGGGGCTCTGGGACGCCCGCAAGACCGTCGCCATCCGAAGGCCGCACCTGCAAGAATGGTTCATTACTTGCCCGCTCGTCCACTCATGTGCTATGAAAACTCTGCCTCTTGCAGTTAGTGGGTCGCAGCGTCGACTCCAGCCCGCGTCTTGCGGTGACTGGCACTCATGACTCTCGCCGCAGGAGCGCTGCAGTCGTGGTGCAGCGCTGCACAACTCCACCGCTCGCGGCCAATGAACGCTGCCAGGGACCACCCTCTGCACCCGCGACAGAAGCCCGCCACGTATCGCCCGCAACCCGGCCTGCCCTCTTCTTTTGGCGCGCCTGCAGTAGCGGCCTCACTGGTCCGCTGCGCCGTGGTGAGCACCTGTCATCTGAGCTGCTTGGGTTGTGAACAGTGCTCGAGTGCCTGAGTTGTGAAGACAGGAGTCAATTTGCACTGGGCGACGCGCAGCCCCGTGCCAGTCTGCGTTTTGTTTTGATAGCTGCTCTCGTGTCGTGGCCATGGCAATACGCCGGGCCCAAGAATAGCACTGCCATCGCGCACTTCACCACCGACTCGGACCCGTTCGCAGTGCAAAATTGTGCCGCGGCCGTTGAGCGCTCCTGCGACGCCTGGCCTTGTCCGTCGGGCGGGGCCACGTCCTACCATGGGCAAGACGGAGGGTGTCGCGATCAGCGCGACTTATGCAAATCGATCCCGAATCTGATGCCCATGGTAGCGTGGCAGTGACAACGTCGGCGGCGAAACCGGACTGCCTGGTGCCTGTAGGCGAGCGTCATCAACGTCCTCGTCGCCAAATTGCTGCTCGTGCAATCGTCACTGGCAACCCAAGCGCTCGGCGCCCCCCTCTGGGCTCGGTGCAATATCGTAAGCAGGTGCCCACTGTATGCATGTGAGGATGTTCGAGCCTTCGAGGCCGGCACCTGCTCCACTCACACCGTCCAACATATTTCTTACCCACTTCCTTGGTCGCGGATTGGCCCCTCGAGCTCATCAATACCCATAGTGACGCTTGCAGCCCTTACCGTGATTTTCCATCAGGCACCAGAAACATCGTGTTGGTCATGCAGCTGACTTCACCATCCCACGTAGGAGGCAATATTTGTCTCGTGTGGAGTCAAACGCTACGTCGTCTACAACGATATTCACGGCACTTGAGTTTACGTCAGGGATGCGGTGAGGGCGAACACTATGGGCTGGAGAAGGAATAAATAAGTGCTGGCAAGGAGATGCACGCGGTGCTGGATTGGCAAGCGATGTTGCTAAGATAACTTCAAATCAAAGTGGCTTAGCGCAGGAGTGACACGTGACTAAGTGTGAGGATAGCCAGGCATCGTGAGATGGCTGAGGCGGCAGTGAGATATTTCCTACCTACCCATTCGAAACGTCTGGGCCTGTGGTACCCTCCAGACCGGCCATGAAAAGCAATTACTGCGAATATCCTGCGCATTTCGAAGATACCCAAGGCTCCTGCTTGGAAGATTGGTCGCACGCGCGTTTTCGGCTCACACAGTGCCCAACGCGTTCGTGGTGCGCTGGCAACACATGCCGCTAATCCGCATCGCATGACACTGGCAAGTACACGACGACTGCAATGTCCTTGCCGAAGGAGCACGAGATTCTGATGGCCAAATTGTATGAGGCGAACACAGCGCAACATTTCAGATTCATTCAGATTGCGTGCGTTTTGCACGTAGACTCGTCAAGTGACCATGATACTTAAAGGTTAGAGGTCCCAAACGCCGATGTAAATGCTCACTCCCGTGGTATATCCCAAAGCTTTTCACGCCCAAACCAGAGACGAAACCCAAAAAATATTGACCTCGCGTGGTCTAATTCATCTGTCTGATCAATTCGTTGATCTTGTCTTCCCGGTTGCCTAAGTCACCACCTTCGATGAAGTGCTTGAACTTCCTCTTGCGGAAGCCACCAGTAGGGCTGTTAAGCTTGAACGGCCAGAGGAAGTTCGAAGCAGCCTTGAAGTTCGGCCCAACGGTGCAGATCTCATGGATAAGGTCTTCCATACAGATCATGCCGTATTTGCCAAGGTTCTCTTCGATGATCTCGTTGTCCGTCAGAGGAAGGCGTTGCTTGTCGACCTTGCCATAGCCACGCTCTGTATCCCAGTTAATATCTGGCAGTAAACTTGCATCTGTACCGAACTTACTGTAGATGAGCTCACGAACCGACTTCTGGTTCGGGTAGCCATAAGCAACGAAGGGCTCAACAATCTTCAGCATCTCCATAGTCGCCTTGGTAAGCTTGACGAAGACGCCATTGTTGATCTGAAGTAACCGCAGAAGCTGCAGTGTCTTGCGCTTCTTGGGATCAATCTTGTTGATACCCTTTATCCGGACGACGAAGGCGAGTTTGGGCTCGGCGGGGACGTATAGGCTATCGCTCTTCTTGGCCTCGCGCGACAAGCGCACGCGCTCCCGCTCGGCATCGCGGTACTCCTTCACATACTTCTCGGCTCTCGTGAAGATGACCTCGCGCTTCTTCTTGCTCTTGTCTGTGTCATGTCAGCGCTGTCTGCAACAGTGTGTCATGCCATGAGCTCCAGTGAGGACGATTGCATCATTCCCGAAAGATGGTTAACAATTCGACAACATTGACCGTAGTCTAGCCGATAGTGTGGTAGTTATAATCATCGTAATCGCCCTCATGGATCGTCGATAGCATGCTGGGGTTGGTCGTACCTCGCTTCTCGCGTGTTGCGATCGCGCGCTCCTCACGAGCCTTCTCCTGAGACTTCCTCTTCTTGAGGAGGTTCTCAGGCACGAGAGTGATCTCACTCTGTGTGGGAACAGTTCTATTGGGTAAGGATTAGCTTTGGAAACTGCGCGTGGTGTAGGGACAACGTACGACTTCGACGACATGTTGAAGTGGTGTTCGAGGAATTCTTCGGAAGCTCAATTTTTGCCAGACTCTTAGCGTTGGCGCTAGCCGCTATCCCGCAAGCGCGGGCGCCAAGATGCTGCGCCCCACAAAAACAGATGCAGCCGCGACCGAGGTCAAGGGAACATGAGCGCTCCAACGGCTTCGCATTATATCCGCTGTACACCTTGTTTACGTCGCTGAGCATATACGGTAGAGTCTGTACTCCGTCGTATCCCATTCTACATCATACCTCTAAATAGGATGCATTTGGCAACCTTTTCTCGAGTTGCGTCCACCCGTGGACGTACGAGCTTCTGATGTCCACGGGTCTTTATGCCTTTATTTGCAACAGAGTCCCCTGTTACTGATGCTGCTTTTCCTCCCTGTCATCGCTTTTATGGTCATCTCACATGCTTTTTGACGGCCAACAAGAGCAATCTCGATGACAGCCACGCTTTGAGAATGCCTTTCCGCCATTGGTCTTCAAACCGATCTCAATGAAGCCCGGCAAAGGAGCGCCTTGCTCACCACGGGCAGCAGCAAACTTCCTTCGGTTTTTCTCCGAAGAATATTACGATCTTGCCGCCATCTCGTGTCGATTTACATGAGCGTTTGGAGCGATTTCGGCACCTGAGGTATACTCAGTCACCACTGACAAATTCCTCCCAGGCCGCTGCTCCTCTAGTACGACATTGTGCATAGAAAGGGCTCCTCACATCAAGGTCATCTATTCAACCTTTGTTGCGCGAAAATTCACAATGTCACACAGCCGAGCGTGTCCCTACTCATAAACGCTTGATGTCAGCCTGGTTTACTACTACTCTACCAGGCCACAAACTTCCACATCAACTTCGCCCTCGCGCGGAACGACATCTATATTGTAACCACTGTAGTCATGACTGAACCTATTCCGATTCGACAAGACCCCTATGCCTTAGCTTACCGGTATCGTGAGTATATGAAAGAGAAGCCCCGGGGTCCCGCGGAGCGCAGTAACCCATACTACGAGAGGCTGCTCGCGAATTTACCTGATCCTGACATCAGTGCTATGGATAACCGCTCACGCGCCATTCGGTACGCAAAGAAACATTATGAATGCTATTATGAGATCAGGGATATATGGCGCATCATACGATGGCTGCCACCAGCCGACGAGGAAGATTCTAGCTAGGCGGTAGTAGGTGAGTTCATGGGAACTGGCAACAATCACTATGATGGTTTCTCTTGTTTTGTATTGCTCTATCCCAGGAGTTGATGTCAAAGTTTGATTTTGATGGTTATGCTACTACCACCTTACTAAGTTTGCTCGTTGTTATTGGATTTATGATACATCCTAAAATGCCCGCCGTTCCTATAAGATTCTCAATCAAGTATACCGGCATATGATGCATCTTAAAAAATAAGCGTCTGCTTGTAGAAGGACCGCGCCAACATACTAAGCTACTTTGATCATGTCCCGTAATGTAGAGACAAGTGCACAAAACTCTTCTTCATGAATCGACATCATTGATCCTCTCCGTTCGACGTACACCACTGGTGGGTTTCCCAATACAAAATCCCCAACTGACACCATCGTCTACGGAAATTGCACTCTTTTGCCAACTCCCGAATGGCCGCCTTACATGCCTCACATAAAGCATCCCCGTCGCACCTTCCTGATTAGTCCCTTCGCTGTCGTTCGATATCTACACCACGGCACAAGACACCCGCGAACCTGGTCTAGACCTACTCTGAACCCTCAGATCGTTCGTTTCACAAATGACGAGATTCGCTTTGCGCCACAGGAAGCGCTGTGCCGTTTCGTTTCACTACACCCCAGGTCCCACTTGTTTCACACAGTACCATGTTCTGCTGGCCTTAACCGTAACGCTATACCGTATTGCATCTTGGAAAAACCTGCTGATGTATACTGTTGCAGGTCTTCTTTTCGTGGTGCCGGAGAAGAAGGCCCGATAAGTGTTTCTGACATGCTATAGTTGGGCACAGTTAAGAAACAGAGCGGTGCACAATGATACGTTCAGTCAAGTGGCAAGTACGATGACGAGTGTCTTTTGTGGAATTGCTATCGTCGAATAGTAGAATACTTGTACATTTAGAGGGATATCGTTAACGCATGATAAGACTCCTGGAACGCCATGCTGATGAAACGCCGATTATGAGGCATGAAAACGCCACGCCGTAAGTGTGGATAATGATGATGACGAAGTTTGAAGAGCCCGTGTAGGTGAGTATCGTGGTGCGAATGTCATGGGCAAATACCAAGGTTCGCCACGCTGCCGTACCCCAATGACCCGAGTCCGCTGTCTCTAGGCCCACCTTCTCTATGGTAGGAAATGTGAATAGTGGCCTGGAACCCGCTGTCTGCACTTCTCGCAGTCTTCCCGGTAACCCATACTGAAACGTCCCATACCGGTCAAAGCACCGCTTCGTTTCCTTCCGCGAGGCGTCGAAGGTGGGGCCAAGGTGGAGGATGACTCGGTATCCATCTGATCGGCCGTACTGGTGTGCGAAAAACTAAGTCGCGATAGTTGTGACTGGGTGAAAGCGGTTGGCGTATCTGGAATGTCATCGTCCTCGGATATGGGTGAAGGCATGCGTCTAGTCCGATCTTCGTCTACATCCTGCCTCTGTCCCTTCCAGGCTGGTGGAGGTGCCTGCATGGACGGTACATTCGAGTTGTTCATAGCTATGCCACCGGCTGATCCGCTCATCGGATAACCCAATCCGCTCATCCCCCCTCTCTTAAAAGTCGGGTGTATGGGTGTGGGTATCCGACTATTGTTGTTGACGGCGTCTGAGTTGAATAGCGATGGTTGGAGCATGGGCGGTCGCATGAAGTTGCTGCCAAACGAGTTGAAGGCGGGCGACTCTGGCGGCTGGCTCCGAACATCCATGTCATCGTCGTCCATATCCATATCCATGTCCATGCCACTTGATTCTCTTGATATGCAGACAGGTCCACCATATATCGAATCCGGCGAATTCGCTCCTCCATATTCTGAATGTGCCGGTGTCATAGACCGGATGTCCGTAAAGAGTCTTGGTGGGGTCGACAGCGATTGATGTTGGAACTGGTCATGGTTGGTCGGCTCGTTGCTGCCCGGTCGGGATTTCTGTACCGCCATTAGCCAAAGCCCGGCACACGATATTGCCGACATACCTTGAGGTACCGTTCCTCGTCGAAATCCGAGTCTGAATCGTCGTCGCGCCCTCGCTTCCTGGCCATGAAGTGAAATGCAGACATGGTGATGTAGACTAAACGAGTGGTCCTTCCTTACGTCGGCGCAACGCGATCAACGCGTCGGTGGAATGGTAACGAGATGATTGTGGTGGTGCAGTGAGGGTCGAGAGGGGTGCGGCTGAGGAAGCGGGACTGCGATCGAGAGACCTGGTCGGTATGTTTGACGCAAGCCGGGCGGGGGGTTGATATGACTATCAGGGGCGCTGTTTCAGGTCGCATGAAAAGAACCAAGGCTTGGATGGTGGAGTCGCGCGCCTCAAGCGACTGTGGGGGGAACTTGCGACTTGGTTGCCGGGAGTTGGAGGCCCGTCCAGATCCAGCCCGAGGTGTCGCTTGCCGGCGGTGCGTGCGAGAGATAGTCGCGATGATGTCGACGATGGTGTGGCTTAGCGTGGCGGAGTGGTGATTGGCAACTGAAGCCAAACCTTGAACTCGCCGAAACCGAGGCAGGTACGGCATCACGTGGGCTGTGTATCTGCATGTCCAAGGGGAAGGGGAGGAGCATGCGTTCACTTGTCATGGCGGGATGTGGCAGGAGGCGTGTGTGTGTAGCCACCTGGACATGTCGCAAGCTGAATGCAGGCCTCTAGGGGTCGGAGAGATGCTGTTGGAAGGGATACGGGCTGAGTGAGCCGTTGCTGCAGCTTTGGTCAGACAGTGCCGCCAACGCTTCCATCCAGCCTGCCAGCTGCCACCTCATAGCAGAATTCAAAACCAGGCCGATCTGCAGACTACACCAAGAGGAAAAGGTCATGTTCACGCCGTCGTCGAGCTCCAGCAGCAACATACACGTACATTGACCAACAGGAAGAGGGCGATTCCCAATTCCAGGGTAACGAGCTTGGCGCACATGCAGCTGCAAAGCTCCGTCGACGGTGTATCGATAGCCTGCGGGACCAGAACCAACCATCAGCCCCACCCCGACCTAAAGTTTCCCAAATAATTTGGTGGCATATGACTGTATTTGCAACGCCCTCATTATACCCTTTGCCTGTTATTCTCGCCGACCTCGGACCTGCGCCTGCATACACCATCTGCGCGCTTGATTTTCTGACTTGAGACATTCAACGCCCCTCCTTGCACTCTACTGCACGCCCTGTACAACCTCGCTGCTGTACATCCGCATACGTCTGTGCCACAGTCCAAGTAAGACTGACCGCAAATCGACAGTCGCTTAGACAGCCTACTAATATACATAAAGATAGCCTACTCACTGTACAATGGCTCCCGCTGCAACAGAAACACCCGACATGTCCATCAACCCGAGCGACGATGTGCGCGTACTTGGCTACGACCCGCTGATCCCACCCCAACTTCTCGCGTCCGAGATCCCCATCCCCGCACATGCCGAGAAGACCGTCATCCAAGGCCGCAAGGAAGCCGCCAGCATCATTACCCAGAAAGATGACCGTCTCCTGGTCATGGTCGGGCCCTGCTCGCTCCACGACCCAGAGCTGGCACTGGAGTACTGCCAGCGCCTCAAGACCCTCGCCGACAAGCTTCAAGACAACCTCTGCATCATCATGCGCGCCTACCTCGAGAAACCACGCACAACCGTCGGCTGGAAGGGCCTGATCAACGACCCAGACATTGACGAGAGCTACAAAATCAACAAGGGTCTGAGAGTGTCGCGCAAGTTGTTCGTGGACCTCACATCCGCGGGCATGCCTATTGCCTCCGAGATGCTTGATACCATCTCTCCACAGTTCCTCGCCGACCTCATCTCTCTTGGTGCTATTGGTGCACGAACAACCGAGTCACAATTGCACCGTGAGCTAGCCTCTGGTCTCTCTTTCCCTATTGGATTCAAGAACGGCACCGATGGAGGCTTGACCGTGGCGGTAGATGCGATTGGTGCTGCTGCTGCCAAGCACCACTTCATGGGCGTAACGAAGCAAGGTCTGGCTGCTATCACCAGGACGGCAGGTAACGAGCACTGCTTCGTTATTCTTCGTGGTGGATCCAAGGGTACCAACTACGACAAGGACAGCATCAAGGCTGCCAGGGAGGCTTTGAAGAAGAAGAACCTGCCTGAGGTCATGATGGTCGACTGCTCACACGGTACGTTCCTGTATACAAGAATGCTCTACCAACACACACTAATATCTGATAGGCAACTCCAACAAGAACCACCGCAACCAGCCCCTCGTAGCCAAGGACATTGCCGACCAGATCCGCAACGGTGAGACCGGCATTGTTGGTGTCATGATCGAATCCAACATCAACGAGGGCAACCAGAAGGTCCCCCCTGAGGGACCTAGCGGTCTGAAGAAGGGTGTCTCCATCACAGATGCTTGCATTGACTGGGATAGCACCGTCGACACTCTCGAGAACCTTGCATCTGCTGTCGCCGAGAGGCGGGCAAACCAGAGCAAGTCCAACGGTGCACACTAAACGCATCTGTCGAGTGCAGTGTTCGGGTTAGATTATGTATATAGTATGGGGTATTTGGCGTTGGCAAAAGTCTAGAGAGTTTGGGATATGGATGAGACGATAGGGACTGACTTATGATCGATGAACGAGATACATGATTGAACCAATCAAAATTCTTGGCTTCAACTCCAAATCACAAAACATCCAACGCCTGAATGCCCACGGGTATCTTCGTTCTGACGTTCCTGGCTCTTATCACGTGCTCTCACTCATCTTCTTCCTCGTCCACCACTTCCTGCTGCTGCGTGCTGCGCCGATTACCGCCAGTGCTCGTCCTTGCTCCCGTCCAAGCCGCCCTTTCTCCTACAAACACGTCTCCCGTACATTCCGTCTGACACTTGGGACACTTCCTACGATCCCCGCTCCTGCCTCGATAGTAGCTATTAGCACACGCATCGTGCCACCGAACCCCACACTCTTTGTTGTTGCACCTTATGCCAAACGTAACAATCTCCTTACATCCCTCACAATCCCGGATCCTGATAATCTCCCGCCCATCCTCGTTTTCTTCGGCAGACTCATTGTACGTTTCCTTGAGGTAAGCGCGGAGTTCCATGAGCGCGCGTGGAGCCAGGGAATAGTAACCCGCTTTGGACTTTTGGAAGAAGGCTTGCGAGACGAGTGTTTCCAGGACCTGATCTGCCTCGGCTATAGTTATTCCCGTATCAGCGCTGGCCTGGGTGTCGTCTGCATCGCCGTTGATCTGGCTCTGTCTGCTGTTTGCCTGACTCTGTCTGTTCCGGCGTGAGGTGCGAGCAAGCTGTGAGGCTTCTGTATGCTTCACCGCCATGACTTCGCGGATGTTGGTGTTGTTTGTCTCAAACATTTGGTCGAGGACGCGTCTGATGTATGCGATTTCGTTTGCGGAGAAGGTGGTAGCGAATTGGGTGACGGTGTCGCTTGCGTTGTTAACGAGGGCGTATATGCTTTCTTTGGTTTGTTGATCGCGTGTTGATCGGATCTCGTAGTCGAAGGCTTCGATTTTGGCGTTTATGGTTTGTATGGTGGACGTGATGTTTGGCTGGGTTACGTCGCCTGCTGTCCATGGGCGCTCGGGGTCTGTCGGTGTCGTCAGCTTGTGCGATGGCAATGGCGTAAAGGAAACGGACTGTGTGCAGTCATCACATGGGCAAGGATAGACTTTATTTCGTCTACTGTGAGGACGCTGTGCGTATGGAACGCCTGTAAGAATGCGCGATGGATCCCGTTGTAACCTTCTTCTTCGGCCGGGGCGCGCACGAAGGGCGATTCTTCGCGAGACATGTTGCGTGAGAAGGATGTTGGATAACTTTGAGTGAGATGTAAAGACGCGTAATTTGACTGCGCGACAGCAGTTTGGTAAGTGCGGCAACGGATCACTTACGCGATCGCGGGGAACCTGAAAACGCGTCAACGCGAAACCACGTGAAGGTGTTCCATGCCACCTACCCGACTTGCGTCTCGGAGCATTGTCCAAGCCACCGTTATACAACAGCATTTTGATGGGACAAGCTACACTTGCAATGTATGCAGTCACTATAGATCCACTGTCTTCACATACGGATATGTTCTGGAATCATGCCTCGGGCACCTAGTGATTCGTAGAAGATACAAAGACAAGCGCTCCGTGAGCCATCTGGTCACTGTGTTTGCCATCCTTCCATTCATGCTCATTCAAACTCGTGTATCTAGCAACTCCCGGCCGCCACCTGTGCAACTGCGTATAATACAATATCCTAACATTCCCAACCATAGCTCGTCAAACTCGTAGCCCTAATACTGTCCTTCCCATCTCATACAGGCAGATCAGCATTTCGCCTCGCACCGCTTATCGCTTCCAGTGCCTTGGCAATATATGGCCCAATCACCGGTACATTGCTGACGAAGCCCGCAATGGTCATGAGAAAGTCCCCAAACAGCACAAGTATGCCGTACAGTTCGATTATAAAACCGATGAAAGCCCAGCGCATCAGGATAAGCGATATACCAGCGACAAATGCCACTGTGCCTTTCCATTTCTGCTTGCGCGCGAAGAAGGCGACGGTTTTCGTTGTTCCGATGATGAGTGTGAGACCAATCAGAAAGAGTATCTATTGGGGGTATTAGGGAGGGTTCGATAGCGGAGGACTTGGTTCGAGGAGGTCGAAGACGTACGTTTCCCATTGCCAGCCTGTTCGCATGTCAGTAAAGGCTGTACGTATATGCAGAGTTGAAACGTACATTGCGCGATCAAAAAACATCATGACACCTCCCATCAGAAAGAGTCCGCCTGTTCATGCTGTCAATCTTCTGCTGAGTAGTAGGCGCATTCGTGGTGGTGGGCGCGTACCTACCCCCTGAACAGAAGGCGACCCCAATCTCTGTCATTGCTGTTAGCTCATGTCCTATGCGGTGACCGAGGCTGCATGTTTGCGTAACTTACTCTGGGTGTCTGAAAGCCACATAGTCGGCATCTTGGTATTTTGTTGTTTGTACAGTGCGCGGCGTGCGAAATTCCGTAGCGATGTGGAAGCAGACGGCGTAAGAGAGGAGAAGTAGTAGATTGGTGCCTAGTCTCGATGTATATCTGGCATGAAGGCGCTACCTTTCGTCTTGCTGTCTCGTGTCCCCTTGCGAGTGAAGACGCGGCGCGCTCAATCGACGGTCGGCCCGAAGCTCACCCCTGCTAGCGCTGCAGTTCCCGCGGGTAATCGCATAAAACTCTGGTGGCATGCTCCTCAACCTCTACACCTCTCGAGTCCATCTAACGCAAGAGCAGCTAGACAAGGCTCTGATATTCAGCAGGGAAGAGCAATCGATTTATTGTTCGCTTGTAGTTACAAGACACTCGAATTATCATTACAACATAGATCCCGCCCTGACAACAGCATGCTTCAAGCTGCTGTAACTAGGAATCCTCCCTCGAGGCCCTGGTATCCTGTCTTATGGGCGCACAAGAATACTGGATCACGGTTAAGCCGGAGCACCTCCTTGAGCCACAAGCCGAGAGGCATGTGGTGGGTGGAGAGTAGTTTGACTTTGATGATCATACATAAACCTTGAATAAGACCCTATCTGAGCAATGTTCCTCGCCCGGCTCAGAGGCATGTTGTTAGCTTACTTTGTCTCGCGCATATCAACGAATGGACGAGTAGTCGTGTATTTGATGAGTTGAGCGATGCGCCACCCGTGCAAGACGCATGTCGATGAGTCGACTTTGGAGCAGCAATACCTACGCCAGCACCGAGACATGCTCACTTCAAGACTGTGTGTGCACCTCTGGCGGCGAGATAACCCTCGGAGACATTCTGCGGCATGGTCCGAATGCCTCCAAAGACCTCCTTGTTGTGATAGCGTAGACGCGTCTTGGGGTCGGTGTATGGCGCAGGAAGGCCGGTGATGTCGCAGTACTTCTTTTGACTGCTCGGGTGGAAGCTCGGGGCTGACTCGATGTTGGTGTATGTAGGCGCCGGCCCGGCAGCAGCCCTGCCGTTCTTCTCCAGCACCAGCGTGCTCAGGCTCTGTGCTGCTTGGGCGATGTTGGGTTGGCGGCCTGCGTTGCCTTCAGTGGCCACAGCAGGTGTTGAGTTGCCACTGTTGTTCTGCGTGGCCATTACTGAGGCTTCTTTGCGCGATGCCTCACCGAGAATCTGCTTGAGGTTCTTGTTGCGGCGTTGTGGAGGCTTCCAGTTGGGGTTGCGGAAAGGCTTGGGTACCGCGTAGACGTCAAGCTTGTCCAGGAGCGCTTGATGCGTCTTGTCGTCAGAGGCCGCTGTTAGGGGTGCCATATTGTGAGTTGTCAAGAAGCCAGCAAGTCGCAGTCGGTGGTCTCGTCGCGCTGTTCGCTTGCCGATGTCCAAGTTTTGGTTGTGTGCGAACGAGGTTCCGATGGGATGTGTCTAGGTGTCGTGATGCTCGGGTGTACGTTGTGGCAAGAACGTTGGGGACGTAGAAGAGTCTCGGTGTTTGTATCGCGATGGAGCTTGCGGAGGTGGAGCTCTTCCAAGGTTCCGTCTCGGGACCTGCATGTGCATCCTCTGCACTAACTGCTTTTATCCTCCCCACCAAACAGCTCCAACGCGTACTATCAACTGCAACACTATCGAGTCGCCAAAATGGTAGGACGGCATGAGAAATCTATTGTAAGCGGCGCGTAGTTCTGACCGCGTTCCTAGGAAAGCCCTCACGAGCACCAACAGAGCCAGTTGCTCTCTCGCATCATTGTGAACGTCGTGAGTCAATTCAACATGTCGATGCACAACGAAAACAATGCTGACTACCGGAAAGGAGAAGCTGAACGAGGCCGTCATGATGTTGAACAAGAATCTGCAAGAGATCAACATCCAAAACATGGACACCGAGCTTGTGGCTCAGATGTTCAAGAACTACCAATCTAACGTTCTTTTCCACCTGGAAGGTATCTACATAGTCATGCTGGGATGCTTTTGTAATAGCGCTAACGAGCCGTAGCAACAAATGGTCTGAAGGATCCTGCTTAAGCATGCAAGATGAGATATACTTGGTGTGAAGGGGACAATACCCAAGGCAAGGCCAAGTCTGGTGAGAAATTCGATTACAGGACGTGGGGACAGCAAACAGGCCAGTAGATAGCAGTAATGAGATATGATCATGTTAGCACTATGTGCAAGACTGCAATCCAGACCGTCGGCATGTGAAGTAGCGTAGTAAGCGTACCTAACATACGGAGACGGGCTCGGACCACCGAGCATTGCAAGAGCCTCACCACACCGCAGTCGCCATGCCGCGCATCCTCAGCACCAATCGCGCTAGCCAGGCACACACGCCACATCTCCGACCCGCGACATGAGATAACGCCCTGATCTTGGACCTGTCGCATCCCCATCTCCATCTCCCACTTCACCACCATGGCTCCCTCGGCCATCGACGAGGCGCCGCAACTCGCAGGGCGCAATCCACCCAAACCTCCACCCAAGCTCTGGAGCGTGTCGGACCCGCCTTTTGAGGGCTTCCGGCCCATCGACAAGGAAGGCTGGTCGCGTAGCAACAGCGAAACCGCCATAGTCATCGACAATGGTATGTACAGGCTGCGCATGCGCCAAAGCTGCCATGCCGACTAACACACCACAGGCTCGTCAGCAGTCCGCGCCGGATGGTCCTTCGATTCCAAACCCCGATTGTCAGTACTACCCAACATGGCTAGGTATCGCGACCGCAAGCTCAACCGCACCTTTACCTTTGTTGGGTCAGATGTCTACGCCGACGGCACCGCGCGAGGACAATCCAAGCCCGTGTATGAGCCTGGCAGCAACATCGTGAACAACTGGGATGTCATGGAGGGTGTGCTCGACTACTGCTTCGTCAAGATGGGTGTAGACGGCCGGTCTGGGCGCATCGACAGGCCCATCGTTATGACCGAGCCTGTTGCCAATTTGGGCTACTCAAGAAAGAGTACGTACGCTAATACTGGATAATATCGTGTTGATAGCTAATGTGCATCCTATAGCCATGTCTGAAATACTCTTCGAGTGCTACGGCGCACCATCCGTCGCATACGGTATCGATTCGCTCTTCTCCTACTCCTACAACGGCGGTCGCAACGGCCTGGTCATGGACTCTTCGTACACTTCCACACATGTCATCCCCGTGGTAAACTCCAAGCCGCTCCTATCGCAAACTACTCGCCTGAACTGGGGACGCTTCCAGTCCGCGCAATACCTGCTGAAGCTACTGAGGTTGAAGTACCCTACATTCCCCGGAAAGATCAGTGACAACCAGGCCGAAGATCTCGTTCGTGAGCACTGCTACGTATCACAAGACTATGAGAACGACCTCAGCAGCTATCTGGACTGGACGGGCCTCGAAGACCGAGATCATACTATCCAGTTCCCCTACACTGAGCAGATTGTAATACAAAAGACTGAAGAAGAGCTGGCTGCCGCAGCAGAAAAGCGGAAGGAGAGTGGTAGAAGATTGCAGGCTCAGGCTGCAAAGATGCGACTTGAAAAGCTGAAGAAGAAGGAAGAAGAGTTGGAGTGGTGCATACAACTGCAGGCGCAACTGGAGGAGATCACGACCAAGAAGGAAAAGGCACGCGTACTAGAGTCGAACGACTTTGACGACGAGAATCAGCTCAACAAGCGGGTCAAGGAACTGGAAGCTGCTATCAAGAAGGCTCGTAACAAGGACCTCGGCGACGTTGAAGAAGAACAAGTCGAAGTACCTACGTTCCCCCTGCTAGAAGTTCCGGATGATCAGCTCGACGAGGAGGGCATTAAGCAAAAACGACAGCAGCGATTGATGAAGTCTAACTACGATGCACGCCAACGTGCGAAGATTGAAAAGGAGAAGGAGAAGGCGCGTCAGGCAGAAGAGCAGCGACTCGACGATCAACGGCGAGAGACAGACCCTCAAGGCTGGATAGAAGAGCGCCGGATAGCCCGTCAAGCCATTATTCAGAAGATGAAGGACCGCGAGCGTCTCAAGGCTGAACTTGGAAACCGAAAGTCGCTCGCCAACCAAATGCGCATGAAGTCGATTGCCAATCTCGCGTCAGACGCACCCACTAAGAAACGGAGAAGAGGCGGCGGCGATGATGACACATTCGGTGCCGACGATGCAGACTGGGGCGTCTACCGCACCATCGCCACAGGCGAAGGCTCCGACGATGAAGAAGAGGAAGACCTCTCCAAGAACCTCAAGGAGATCGAATCCCAACTTCTCCAACACGACCCAAATTTCACCGAAGAATCGACTCGCGAAGCACAAACTGACTGGACAAAATCCATCCTCCACTCTTTCCTCCACGGTCCTTACCCTTACGATGCCGAAAGCCAAAAGGAAACGAACCAGATCCATCTCAACGTCGAACGCATTCGCGTACCAGAAGTAGTCTTCCAGCCCACCATCGCGGGTCTTGACCAAGCCGGCATCGTGGAGATCGCATCCAACATCCTCACAGAACGCCTGGCAGATTCGCCTCATCGCGACAATGTTCTGAAAGACATCTTCCTTACCGGCGGCAACACCATGTTCCAAGGCTTCGAAGAACGCCTGCGCTCTGAACTGCGCGCTGTATTACCCGCTGAGCAAGCAATCAATGTGAGGAAAGCAGGGGATTGCGTTCTGGATGCTTGGCGTGGAGCAGCGCAATGGGCGGGCAGGAAGGAATCGAAGCAACACTTTATTACTAGGCAGGAGTTCTTGGAAAAGGGTGCTGAGTACATCAAGGAGCATGATCAGGGGAATGCTGCGTATTAGGTTGCCTGTCTTGCGTGCGGGCATTGCGATGTGTGCAATTTGCTGAGTTTGTTTGTTCTCTTTCTGTCCTGGTAGTGGGAATCGTGTAGTATATAACTAGCCCCAGGACGTTGTTGTTATATGGGTCCGATAATATCATCATGAAGAGAAACCACTGGCACATGTACCGGATCACCGTTCCAGACATTTGATTACTGAAGCACCATCTCCTTTCAGCGCATTCACCAGTACGAGT